ACTTTAGGTCTGTAAAAATGTGTGCTTTAGGATTCGAGGATTTTCAGTATTTCAGTATATTTAAGAGCATTTTGTTCATTTTTGTGTCGTTCCTTGAAAAATAAAATATTCTGGTATTTTGGAAGACATTTCTTAGTATTACTGATTAGCCAAAAACATCCCCTGTCTTTGGTAAGTGTTTACATACCAAACATACATAGTTTTATATAAAGTGCCACTTAGAGGCGTCTGTTGCAGATTTTGATATGTTGTAATAAAATTACTTTTGTGCCCTACTGCAACACTATGAATATGAACATGAGAAAGTAACAATCAATTAAATCTTTAACAATGTTTAGCCATTATTCACAAAGAACTGCTTTATACACAGGCCTTTATCATTTTAAATGCACCAAATGAAGATTTTTGGATCTCAATATAGTTATAATATTTTTTTCCATTGATCATATATTGCCTACTGTCTACAGGACAGATAATGGAATACTTTCCGTACCCACTGTATATATATATATATATATTGATTATGTTCATAATCAAAGGCTTCCAGTGTTTGAGCAGAAATTATTTGGTTAATTCTGGTACAGCAGCGTTTTAACTGTTGTAAAGTTATCTTTAAAGTTATTTTTGACATTTGACATCCTGATTAAATGTGCTTATGTTTTAGTTCTGTTGTATATTTATTTTTTAAAGACATGTATTTAAGTAAGTCCCGCACTGATAGTCAAAATTTTGTTGCTTGTGGTTTGCCGTTCTTAGTACTAATGAGCAAAATGTAAATTATTTAATTTGTCTATAGAAGATTTTCATCTTACCACTCACAATAAAAAAGTATGTGTTAATTAAATTGATGTGAGAAATAAATAGTAAATGACTTGACAAGTTTCAGCCTGATTAAGTAAACATCTTATTATGCCACTGGCTAACTGAACGTTTTAGTTGAACAACTTCCCTGTTTCTTTTAATTTTAGAAGTCACAATGATGCAGCTCATTACCATTTGTTACAGTTCTGTCTATATTCTTAAAGATGTTTGTATGCTGTTGAGTGCAATAAAACAAGGTCTGTGCAATACCCCAGATCATCACTGTATTGAGTCATTTGCATTCTTCCCCTTGAACTTATGGAAGTGTCACAAATAAAGTTTCATTTTGTGAACACAAGATGCTGAGTTCTTCAGAGTTTATTTATAAGCATGAATTTGGAAACACATTTTTAGGAAAGAATGTTGCATAGTTTTTTACATTGACAGTTTTTACAGTGGATTAACATTTATTATAAATGTTTATATCTTCCATGTGTGATCTAGCAATGTGTGTTTACCTGTTAAGACAAGAGTATTCAACAGTACGTTTGACAATACTTAAAGAAAGCTGTATCTGGTTCTTAAAATTAAATAGGCCCAGAGTAATTAAACAAAAGCAACACGTAATAAAGTACACTTCATGTTTGGGGTTAGTAAATTTTAGGTTAGTTTTTGTTTTCCATCAAGGATGCATCAAACATGACTAAGGACATTTATTATGTTACAAAAGTTTTCTATTTTAAATAAATACCGTTCTTTTGAATTTTGAACTTCGAACTTTCTATTTATCAAAGAATTCTAGAAAAAAAATTCCACAAAAACATTAAGCGGCACAACTGTTTTCAAATTGATAATAATAAGAAATATTTCTTAAGCATCAAATCGGCATATTAGAATTATTTCTGAAGGATCATGTGACACTGAAGACTGCAGCTGAAAATTCAGCTCTGCCCTTACCGGAAAAAAATGAAATTTTAAAGTATATAAAAATAGAAAACAGTTATCTTAAATTGTAATACTATTTCACAGTTTTACTGTTTTTACTATATTTTTGATTAAATAAATGCTGCCTTGGTGAGCATAAGAAAAAAAAAGAAAAATCATACAACCCTTTTGAACAATAGTGTATATTATGTGTATATAAAATGTAGTTTATAAGAATTTCAGTTAACTAAATGTAGTTTAAGGAAACAGTCATCAAAATTTTATATGTATTTTCAAATCTTGCTTTTCTCCAAAGTACACCCAAAATAAATTATGTTCTTTATTATGTTCTCGTTGTTTTTGTTCTTTCTGTTTTTTTTCATCAAAGATGGTGGACGATGAGAGATGTTAGTCCAATACTTCCACCTGCAATTTCAGAAACACAGAGACGGCATAATCCATCACCGTGCTACGCTGTTTGTTCATTTGACACTAAACCTTTGTGTCATATTATATACCTTTCACTTTGATAAATACAGCAAAAGAGAAACCAATAGCACTTTCCCAGGACAAACGTCATCTGGTGCGTAAGAGGGCTTCTTGAGTATTCATGGATTGCTTTGCATGTGTGACAGTATCTAACTTTGAATATCACTGAGAACAGAATTGTCCAAACATAAACAAAATCAAATGCTTGTAATGCAATTAGCTCGTTCCACTTAATAAAAATGCACCAATGATTAATTGAACAGTTGGGACTAATCAATGAAACATCAGACCAAATATACATCAAAATATGTCATGCAACATAAGGTATATCAGACATAAAGAATCTGAGGCAGAGCAGTCACAGATGGGAAGTGAAGAGTAAACATTTGTTAGGGCCCTCTGTGCAAGCAGAGATAGGCTCTGTCTGAATTGACAGCACAACCTTAATTGTGTCTATGACGAGGGAACCATCACGTCAAAACCATTAACATTGGAATGGGGTGACATGAGCAATATTGATCCCTTCAGGATAGATGGCCTCTGAAGATATAAAACTGAAGATCCTGGCTGGGGAGAGAGTACTGAAGACTGGAGACACCCGCCAACCTCTCAACATGTTGTCACTGGCACTGCTCTACATTCTGGCTGTGGTTTGCTCTGCGCTGAGAACTGATGCGCTGCCTCTATATTCAGACACGGCACTGCCCCAACAGGAAGGTAAGATTATCAGTGTGCTCTTGAGAAGTTGGCAAGCTCATGATTTTTGTTAAGGCTGAGCATGAGGCTACATGTATGGTGAAACCCATGTCTAATAGACATTGGGCTGATTGCTGAGTGCTCAATATCCCTTCTGCTTTCATTGTAAATGTTAAAGAGGAAGTGGTGAATGCAGTATAGGAAAGATTTGATAAAGACCCATGAGCTTGATCAGTGATAACTTAACATGATAACTCAATTCGTCTTCACTAAAGCTTTTAAACATAAACATTTAACTTAGAAACAGAAGATTTTTTTGGTGAAACTTCAAATAACACTGTAAAACATGTTCGAAGTTGTAAATAAAACAAAGAATATTGGAATATGTTTTACAAGAAAATACTATTGCAGTATTTCTTTAAAATTTCATAAGTCAATGTAAAACATGCTGTTTCTTTGTGATTATTGGTGAAATTGACTAGCAATTTCTGAGTAAAAATTGTTTCACCACCAACTTTTTTTCAATAATGACTCAAGTTTTGTAGTTCATAATTTAATTGCTTTTTCCTTTTTTTCTGTCAGAACTGATTCAGAAACTGGTGGCAGAGGTTGAGGACAGACAGAATAATGACTTAACGGAGCAAAGGGACATCAAAACTGTGCTCCCTGTCCTGCTCCAGAGAGGTGAGACTGTGACTCTTGGGTACTTATTATTACATAACATTTCTCATGTTATTAGAATGGATACATTTTTCAAAAACTCCTGCAGCCTAATCATGTTTTTTTTTTTTTTTGGCTTAAACTTTCTTTCTAGGTGCAAAAGAAACTTTGCAACAAGAGAAAATAAATAACATGGTATGATCCTACTCTTTGTAATGAATTTACCATTTCTTTCTTTCTTTCTAATTAAAAGGTAACTAAAGTGACAATGAATATGTTCTGTGTCTTTAGGAGGAGGATTTCAAAGCAGTCGTCTTGAAACTCGCAGCAGCTGATAACCTGCGTTCTCAAGGCTATCTACGATCTGAGCAAAACTTGCCCAAAAACAATAAGAGAGGTGAGCAATTAAAGAGACTAAACACAGGTCCTCATATATGTTGTGCAAATAAAAAGATATCAATGTTTTCATGACAAAAAGCAACAACAACTACTTACGATTATGCAGTGTAGATTTACTCAGAGACGAAATATGTCAAAGACAGCATAATGACTATTCCTATTGCATTACTAAATCAAATTTTTGTCCTTCATTTTACAGCCTGTTTTTGGAAATATTGTGTTACAAACTAAGAATGAATCCACTGAAATGGACAGAGGACCAACTTAACATACCTTATGTACAAACATCTAAAATGTATGCTTTTGTTTTTCCCCATAAAATATCCATATAAATATCCATCCATGCCGTTTGACATTGTGAATATATATA